TGATGAGTACCTAAGTCAGCGGTAGGTAAACTCTGGCCCTCCAGTTGTAGTGAAATTACAAATCCCATAATGCATCTGCCTCTAGAAGGCATGCAAGTGGCTGTCAAGAGTGCTACAATGCCTAAAGGGATTTGTAGCTGCACCACAGCTGAAGGGCCAAAGTTTGCCTACCCCTGACCTAGCAATATTAAATCCGAAAATAAGGATAGCGCTTTGACCATGCATTTTAAATATGAACACAAAGTTCACCTGATAGGATGTATACACTATATTATACACATTATCCTCCACTCCCACCCCGAGGAAGGGATTTTGGCAGAATGCTATTGCAAAAAAAAAACTGAATTACCATTTGAATACAAAGTCCACTGGTACTGAACACAGAATTTAATGTCAATATCGTCAAGTCAATATTGTTTGCTTGGGTTTTGCCATCATATGTTGTTGATATACAGTGAGTATCACCTAGCCTAAGAATAGAAGGTTCTGAACTTCCCATGAGCAGTGAAGGGGTTGATAAAGATTGGAAAAGCTGAATGGAAATGCAATTTAATTAGTGGAAACCCTGGCTTCTCCCCTCCCTGATGAAGTCCAGACAGCGTGGACTAACCACGTCGGCATGCTTGTGGTCCAGGGTCAGCTCATTCATCTGGTCTCTTAAAGGAAGTGCGTCAGTATTACATTTATATTGAGTTGCAGGACTAACCTGTCAATACAGGTGGAGACCTTGCAGGATGGCCTGAGGAGTTAACAGCCATGGACCAAGGAGTCTAATAAAGAGAGTAATTGAAGAAATGTCCTCCTTCCCCCTCTATACATTTCCACCTATCAATAAACCTTCTACCCAGAGGATGAAGATCTATACTTTCCTAATTAGCAGAAGGAAATGTGGTATTGCCTTGCAGTGAATGATTTCCATACAGCTTTGCTACATTTGGCTGCAGCACATGCTATAACCTGCTGGATCTGGAGACACTACAATGTGTCAATGTCATTAATAGTTATAACATAACAGAAAAGTCCAATCTTGTTACAAAATCTTGGATGAACTTGCAAGACTTGCACCTGTGATGAATATTGACTATATACAAGCCTATTATATATACACAGTACAAGGAATGTATTTATGAGCTGTGTCAAAATAAAGACAAGCAATAGTACAACTGCGAAGTTCAGTTACCCACTACTTAGTGACCCTGGAGTTTGATTCGTACACATTAAGGCCTTTTTCACACCAAGCGCGTTCCAGGAGCAGAGCAGAGCAGTTACAGACGGGAGCAAAACTGCGTCCAATGTATTCCAATGGTATTTTTAGCTCTAGTTCACATCGCAGCATTCCTGAGCATGTAAAAAAACTGCAGCAGGCCCTATTTTACCTGCTCTGGAACGCATGCAAACGCCCTGGAACGCACTGAAAGCCCATTTTAAACTTTAAAATTTTTTTTTTTTTAACCAAAAACGGCCCGGAACGCTTCAAAAAAGCGGCAAAAAACGCGGCACAAACCACTGCAATGCGTGTGCAGAAACTCATGCAGATCTGCTCTGCATTTGGTGTGAACAAGGCCCTAGTGCGTTGCATAGCTTCATAACAAACACTTTTTCTATTGTTTACTATGGATCTATCTCTAATAGTACATATACATTAACATCTCTTATAGTAATACCTATACATTTGATAGATTGGGGGAGAATAGATACTGACAATGCCGTTTTAAAATTAAATATTCGTTTAAAGTTATTTTACTGCTTGAAATGATAAAAGTTTTTTGGTTTTATTTTAACCAAACCATTGGGACTTGAAGTCACACTAAACTCAGGAGGTAAATCTTAAAAATGCATTAAAGTCCCTTAACTATTAACAAAAAATGTATCTTATTTGTGTATCACTCAGTTGTAAATCCTCAAATCATCTCTGAATTCATTCTGACATTGCCCTTCCTTTTGTGATGGATGAAGCACTTCCTGCCTCATTCATCACAGAGCAGATCGGCGAATAGACATTCAGTTTGCTGTGTTAGTGGCGTAACAACCGGGGGGGGGGCGACGGTGTGTGAGCCCCGGGCGCAGGGCTGGGGTGCCAGCCGACCGGGCAGGAAACACGATTCACCTGTGAAGTCTGTCACACAGCAGCGCGCAGGGGAAGGGAAGTGATGACGGAACTTATCCCTGTGCTCAGAACTCCATCAGAGAGTCCGTCCAAGGTGGGTAGATGGTACGAGCTTTCAATAAGCATACGACAATCGCAAGACAAAAGTATTGTGATGGTCGTAAGGTGTATGGGCACCTTTACACTGCTCGCCTCTACAGTACATTGTTTGTGATCTCCGTGGCCCGTACGAGAAGCGCGCCGGTGCTTGCATTTCAACGATTGAAAGGAATTCCAGGCTGTAAAGTCTCTGTACTGGAGGGAGGTGAGTATATTTACATTTATTACACTGACCTCTGTGCCACCAGTCCAGAGATCTTCATGCTGAAAATGTAGGAGATAACATGCTTCCAACTGCTTCCGCTGTGCAGAGGGCCAGAATTAGTGATTTTGCTCATAATGTGGTTGCCTGTAGAAATATGCACTGGGAAAAAAACCATTTGTAGGGGCCAATCAGCAAAATCTTTCAGAGGTCCCAATTAATATTAAAGACGACCTGCAAATAGTGGCCGTCCAAATAGTGGGGTTGATTGGGGGGGCACTAAATTTTGTTCTGCCCCGGGCAACCGTAACTCTGGTTACGCCACTGGTCCCGGGCCCCCCTAACGAGCCAGGGACCCTGAAAACCAAGGTCAGGGAGAGCACCACATTTGCAGGCTGCTACCAGTGATCTGCTGGCTGTAGAGCTGCCCAGATCACTTGTACTTAACAAGCATCACCAGCAGTAGCCATGATCTTGGTATAACCACTTCAGGATGAGGATGTATATAGACATACAGTGGTCCTGAAGTGGTTAAGCAGCATTGGCTACCTGGCTCCTGGGATACGTTTTAAAATAATATAAAACTCACACCTTTTCTTAACAATCACTCCACATCAAGCAAATATACATGGCCAAGCAAATGATTTCTTTACATTTTTGCCCAAGAACTTACAGTCATCATGTTTCCAAACAGCCCCAACTCTCTCAACTTAACTCACCTGAGCTTCCTGTCCAGTACAATAATACAAGGAACAGAGCAGTCTACATCAGCTGTCCATCTACTAGCTTGGAGAAGGGAAGAGGGAGGTGTAAAGAGCAGAAAGCAGGGGAGAGGCTTGCCCTACGGTGATTGCGTGCCCTACAGAGACACACACAGCTTATTAGCACACACAGGGGTTGCTCCATAAGGACCTGCAAGGGAAAGGAGCCACCCTAAAACAAGATATCAGAGTCAGTGCTCAGTTGACCAGCTGGTTCTGCAGGAAGCTAAAACTTTTAATCATCAGAAGGCAGCATTCATTAAAAGTGATTTAATCAGCTTGAAAAGCTTTTGAATTTAATATCACTTTAAGATTATCATACAGTATATCTAATGGGGCATTTTATTGTTCCTGTGCAATAGGATTTCATGGAGGTTCGCACCATAATACTATATTGTTAAGTCGGTGGAGTGCCAAGTTGAGGAACTTTTACTAGATCTATACAAGAATTCTTCATTCTGCATAACTACAGTCAATAGAAAACCAAACAAAAGGGTTTTGTAGTGGTGATCTACACCTATGTAATGGCCTTGTAGGAGGGGTGGAGGCATACTACCGGGGAGAAACCTCACCAATGGCATCTCAAGGAGACATAAGGCGTTAGCTGTTGATTCAAGGCGCTAGTGCCTGTCCATTGGGTAAAGTTAACCTTTAACAGTGATTGTTTCATGCAATTATCTTGGCTCTGTATTTAGCTCCTGGCTTTTTACATCAGCCTGCTCTTTTTCGCAGATGTTTGCATCCAATAGCAGCGTCTGCATGGAAGGAGCTCAGATTTCAACGTGCTCTTCAAGGCAAACCATTTGTGTGGAAAACAACACTGCTGAAATAAGATCCTGCAATAAATATTTAAAGCCACAACAGTCCAATAGCACCATATGTGACGTGCTTTGTTGGTGTTCTCCCAAGCAGCTGATGGCTTTACCTGTCAAAGATCTACAAATTACCCATCGTTTTAAACTTGTACAGCAGCAGAAAAAAAAAAAGAATACCACCCATAGATAGCCTTGTGTCGCAGAATACAGCGGTGTTAGAATGAACGACAGGATGTCTTCAGAAGATCGTCAGAAATAAAACAGGATATGAAACCACCATTGTGGTTAGAGCAGTGTGGCGGTCCGCATCCACAAAAAGGAGTGCAGAGTTTGGACTAGTTAGTAGAATTGAATGAATGACGTGTAAGAGATTTACCAGTACAGCCATCTGCTCGTACGGATAAGACAGCGTGACAAAAACCAAATGCTAATTTGGTTCAGCCGAGCTCCTACATTATGGTTATTATATACAGCAGGCAATTAAGTTAGGGACTGAGATGCCAACAAACACACTATTGAAACATCTACTTGAGCTCTACTCTATGTTTTGTTATTGAGCTGCACTCTATGTTTTGTCATCATAAATCTCTTGGCAACAGTCCTTCAAGCTAGATTGCCTTTCGAGGACCTAAATTCTAACTGACTTGCCCAAACTCAATCCCTTGGCCTTGCTTGTTTCATTCTTATGACCTACTGCAAGATATCCTTAGCATAATGCTGGCTCAAGGTCCCATCACCACTCCCCCGCTGACACCAGCACAGCTTCCCACCTCTGCAAAGTACCATGAGGAGGCCCTACCTACTGCTACTGTCCAAAATGGAATGAACGCTAGTTATCATGTGCTGTAACCAAGAACAATGACATGACTCAAGTAACAAAGGGAGACCCATATAACAATGTACACACTGCTGATCTCCATGAGATGGTTTCATGCAATGCCATCCATGTCAGGGTCATAACAGAAGACCTATCATATGGTGGATACATAGGAAGCCTGGATATCATTGTGTCTCACCATAAATCATGGCCAGGCCAGTCTCATGCAGAAAACGAGCCCGTCGGTGCTTGAAGAGCCATATAGTGAGGATAGTTAGGGTCAGCAGTAGGATAAATGTTAGCAGGCTCACGCTGTCCTGCCTGTGGCTCTCTTCAGCCTCTTTCTCTGTAGCGTTCTCCTCCATGGCGCTGTCCTCAGCATATATCCATGGGATCCAAGGGATCAGCAGATACACGAGGCTGTGCATGGCTGATCACTCCAGTCGTCTTCTGGCTTCTGCCCTGACTCAGTGTCAGCGAGAGCAGATCAAGCCTACGCCGGCTGCTGTCTATTGCTCAGCAGCAGACACAGCACTCATTCTCCTCCTTCCTCCACCTCCTCCTGACGGTGATGAGAATTAGTGGGACCTCCAATGCGCAGAATCCGCTCTGTAAACCTATTGCGATTAATAGAACTGCACTTCCTTACAGAAAGCTGCACTGCACAGCATGAGACCGGCCGGATCAGCCCCTTACCCGCCCATGACAGGCATGACACTTCATTTCTTACTACAGTCACTACCTTCTGATTATAGATCTACAGATCTATTGCTGTTGTTAAAGTGTTTAAGGACTGGACTGTCAGCCGAAAAATTTGGGTCTGAACGTGCGAATTGTGGCCGTCAATGTTAGGGCAGAACGGAGAGTGGCAAGACTGGTACAAGACAACAGAAAGGCAACAGTGCAGTGTCAGATTCCTCGCATCACCTTTCAACATCTCGTGGAGTCACGAGGCGGCCCAACGAAGTCATCTTGTGGCTCTCTCTCTCTCGAAAATGTTGTCATTAAGGATCCATTCACACCAGATGCATTGGCATGACAGCTTGAAATGAATGGATATGAATGGGAGCAGTTCAAACCAGTGCGTTTCATTGATGTGAGCATTGCATTCAAAAAAAGCAGAGCAGACTCTACTTTTGTTCAGCGCAATGCAACACACATCAATGGACTTTCGTTGTGCGAATGTTGTATTGGATGGGAAGGGGGTTTAACACCGCGGATGTCAACTGGTTAAAATTTTGTACGATCTGCCCATCTTGGACAGGTAGACCATACTTGCGATCATCGCAAGCCCGCCCCGCTGAGGGAAGGGGTTGCGGATGATTGTAGTGCTGAGCAGGCAGTGTGCGCTCGCGCACACCAGCCCGTGCGGCATTCGTCTTCCGAGCACGCTACCAACATTTTCGGCAGGTTTTCGAGCATGCTAGGAACACGAAAATTGTGCGACCTTACAGTAGATACGGTCGCACGCTGCCCATACACCTGCCGATTATCATACGATAATCGGCAGGTGTATGGGCACCTTAAAGATGATTGGACAGAGATTCTACAATCAGATTGTAATGTGTATGGTGACCCCAAACCTAATCACTAAAATCTTAAAGCTTTAATCTGTTATTTTAATTTTTAAAGCTGTTTTCAGTCTGCTTAAAGCTGAGTTCCAGGATTTTTATTTTAGATACTGCATTAGCTAAGTAAGATAGCCCAGAGTCAGAAAAACTGCACGGGGTACATGGGTTCATTGAATATAAAGCACAGAGTGCAGTGGTCAGGAGTGTGTATTGCACAGAGTACAGGGGTCATAAATATGCATTATACGGTGTGCAGGGTCAGGAATATGTAATGCACAGAGTTCAGGGGACAAGAGTATGTAAAGCCTAGAGTGCAGGTGTCAGAAGTACATACAGCACAGAGTGCAGGTTTAGGAGTATGCAGCACATAGAGCAAAATAATCTGGAATGCATGATGCACAGAGCGCAGGGGCAGATGTGAGCAATAAACAAACTGCAGAGTTCAGGAATAGGTAATGAAAAGAATGCAAGGGTCAGGATTGTGTAACAAACTGAGCACAAGGGTCAGGAGTGCATATTGAGTATGTAAGTAACAGAGCACAAGGGTAAGGAGTGTGCAACACATAGCGCAGTGGTAAGGAGTGTGTAACGTGCTAGGGTCAGGAGCAAGTAACACACAGAGTGTAGGGGTTAGACCAATTCCTTCCCCAAGCACAACCCACCCTCCCTGAAATGTACATGGCTTTGTGTCTGTTGGTGAGTGCCCCATGTCCCAACACCCTACATCTCAAATTTTTTTCTCCACCAATGCTGAAAAGTCCAATTGTAGTGCTCAGCAGTCCAGCAATTAGGGAGTCCTGTGAATAAAGAGAATCAAAGGCTTTTGCTATCACAAAGCCAACAAGCTTTACCCATATTTTGTGATAAACTGTGCTGGTAGATGGCTTCCAGGCTCTAAGCAAGGTAGAAACTACTGCACACAAACAGTCTAGGGCTTAAAGACGCCTCCTCTTAACCCCCAGGCCCTGGCATGCAGATAATCCAAGTGCGGATGAAGGACCTTACCCTGAACCAACATTGCTGGAGATACTTGCAGAGTGATCTGACGGAAAATGTGGAGCAGATGAGAAGGGAGAATCATCAAGACTACCTCCTTCTCAATTAGGAGATGTACCAGAAACATCTATTAGGGGCGCTGGAGGGAAAGCATAACCCAGATAGAACAACCGGGGTTTAACAAGGGCATCTCTCCTTAAACATGCCTGGCTCAGGTATCTGGAGAAAAATAGAAGGAGACTTGTTGTGAGGGGACATAAAGAGGTCCACCTGAGGGTGATCACACTGAAGACAGATCTGATTGAAGAGCCCTGTGGTAAGGGACCACTCCTTGTCTATGAAGTGCTTAGACAGATGGTCTGCCCTGATTTTGTTGTAGGCCAGAACCTATGATGCCTTGAAATCCTCTAGAATTCTTTCCACCAACTCCAGGATGGGGATCACCTCCCGGAATAGACTCACTGGATATAGGAAACTGCTGTTCGATTGTCCAAGATTCAGGGCAAAGGTCTTCCAATCTTCCCAAGCGCCTCTGAGTTCTGAGATGTTGGAGACTACCCGGCTGAGTCAATATGCCACCTCCCACGTTCCCACAGAGTATCTCGATCAACAGTTTGTTAAACTTCCACAGGGACATCAACGGGCCAAAGGAACGGATAGGAATGTCCATAGATCTTCAGGACATATATCTGCACAGCATCCAATCACCACTGAATATCAAGAAGGATGGAGTGTAAAGATCTCATCTTAAACTTCTCTAATCTGATCTGCTTGATCATTAAATCTATAGAACTGGCCTCCCCTGGAAGCTGGGGAGCGAATTCAGGATCAACGTGCAATGAGCGTGGCGCTTCTTGAATGTTTAGCGATGGTGTCAATTGACTGTTGCCATGACCCAAAGGTCCAAGCAATGCTCCACCCATACCAGTGCAAAGGCTTGCCACCTAGCTCCCACTGCACAGGTCTGAGTGGGCGAAGGGGATGCACAAGTACCAACATCATCACGCTGCTGGGGGTGGAGCCACAACCTAGGAAATTGTGGAGAAGTACACACTAAGAGGCTGGGCAGAAAGGCAGGCACTAGGGAGTACAAAAAAAACAGGAAAAATGCACATGAAAATAGGGGGCAAACAACAACATAAAAGGTTATTCAAAAACTGCCAAAAAGCTTAAGGCGAAGAGAGTATAATAGAATAAGGAAAATGAACAGAGCTGCAACTGTAAAAGTCAGACTTAATTGTCATATAGCAACATGACCCAAAAGATCCACAGCTTTTTTTGCCACAATTAGTAACCTAAGAACTGAGAGAGAAAAAGAGAATGAGGGTACTTTATCCGATGGAAACATTTATAGACATCACAAGTCCTGTGGGTAGTTAGGAGCTACTACCTCAATACCATGTTGGCCTCAGGAAAAAGTGATTAGGTAAGTGATAGTAATGGGGGCAATGAGGGAGATAAGAGTGTAGCAGGTCATAGATCCGAAAGGAGACCACCAGGATGGCAGAGTAGTAATTAATTCATAGGTCACCTCTAAAGATCAACATTATATTGATTGGAGAACTTGTGCTCTTCCAAGTAAAAAAAATAAGAGCATTATATTTATTATTTTATATGCAGCCTGACTGCATTACAATAATGAACCAAGAGGGTTCAATTGGGCTATAAAGGCAATTCAGGTGTACTGCCCAAAAGAAGAGAGGATCTTAACTGGTGACAGGTCACATGATATACAGGTTTGTAGCAGATGGATCCCACCAAAACTTGCTAGTGCAAGAATCCATCTCTTTTTGAATTGGACTGAGAGGCTTCAGCTAAGGATCTGAGGGCCAGGGAGGGAGGTGTAAGTGTTCAATGGGCAGAGAAGTGTGGCTTGTTCAAGAAAGAAACACTGTGTTATGCTACCATGAGGTAAAAGGGACAACATGTTAAGTAGACATGTGCACCAGCAAACAATTTGTTTCCATTTGATTCGGATTTTGCGTTATTTCGTTTTTCGGAATTCGCGTCCGAAAGTCAATTCGTTTCAGATTCGGACGTAATTCGTTAGCGGTAATCTGTACGAAATTTCGTTTTCGTTTCGTTTTTGTTTTTTTCTCAAATGTCACTTTGCTGCAACAAAATTTTGTCCAATAAACAAAATTTCGTCCAGACTACCGCTAACAAATTTCAGAATCGGAAATTCGGGTTTGTTTGCATTCGTTATATCTGTAATTCGGAATTCGGATACATCCGAATCTCAGAATTTCCAAAATTTCGTCCGAATTTCGATTCAGAACGAAACGAATCGCACATGTCTAATGTTAAGTAGATTCCTTGTTGTTTGCTCTATTAAGATCCCCAAGTACCCCCTGTTCTACATGTGCATCAGTAGATGTCGTGGCACCTGGGGTGCCCTCTTACCTGGGGTCCGGTGGGTGCGACGGAGATCGTAGGGTCCTTCTTGGGGTGAATTGGCGCCCGGCGGCGTGCTGCAGGTGTGCACATGAGCGCATGCATGACATGCGTGCGTGCGTGACGTGCGCATGTGGTACTGCCGTGGCTTCTTAGTTGCTTCGGGTGCTGGTCATTGCCGGGGAGGGCCTTGCGAGCACTCCTTCTCTCCCAGCCGTCCCATTGGTTCGCAGGGACCTGTGGCTTCCTGGTTGCCCAGACAACGGGGGCGTCGCTGGCCCCTGCTGGGTTTAAATTCCAGCCAGAGCCAAGACTTGTTGCTGAGTTATTCTGCCATTCCCAAAGCAGCTACAACGCCTCATTTCCTGTTTCCTGCCTCCATTCCCTGCTATTCGGATCTCCTGATTATCGACCCCTTGCTTGTCTCACCGTTTATGATACTCGGTGCCTGCCTCGACCCGGACTGTACTCTGACAACGCATTTTGGATTATCCTTTCTTGTACCTTAG